TATTTTCAACAACTGGTGTTTTTCTCCTGAGTCCTTCTCTGTCTTGCACAGAGTACGGACTAGACTCTGTCTTGATATTTTGGAGTCTGTTATTATCAATATACAACATCCTGCCTTGTGTAGACAGAGAGAATCAAAATACAAGTTTGCCTTGTTCGAGAAGCCGTTCGCCAATTCAACGCCTAACTCGGAAAATATGGTAGAAATATTGTAGAGATAGAACAAATATCTTTGTTCTATGTCTACAATGAAAAAACCGAGGATTGAATAGCTCTATATTGGTAGTATTAAGAATTCTTTCAAAAGCCGGTGGTATCAATACACATAGCCTTTTACTAATAATACTTATAGATATAATCTTTCACATTTATATAATATGTGTGAGCCCGAGATTTTCTCAAGAATTATACAAGATTATCTCGGAAAGCCATACTCAATCTAAATCATCAGGAAAGAATTATGCCATTTTTTCGAAGAATGGCAAACAACTGACGTTTCCTGGGTGTCTCTGTGTGAAGTACTGATTAGGTTGCCTAGGCTAGTCGAACGTTACTACTGAGTAAGTGATTTCGATTCTCAGTGAGGAGCCTATGCAAAATTCAATATTAAATAACATAGTCAGTGTGGACATATAAAAAATCAACCAACCTAGCCTAAACCTTATTTGCAAAGTGATATATATGGAATATGTAACACATGTGTGCATAAGGATCTTCATAACCCATAATAATTGATTTCGTAAATATAAGAACATGTCAATAGGTCAGGTTACCATTTAAATGGAGCAAGCGTTCAGTTGAACAGGTTAGGTTTTTCTTCGAACAGGTCAACAGTTCAGGCTTTCCTTTAAACAGGCCAGACCTTCCTTTGAGCAGGTGGACAGGTCAAGCTTTCCTTTAAACAGGTCAGACTTTCCTTTGAGTAAGTCAACAAGTCAGGCTTTCTTTTGAAGAGGTCATCTGGTTAGTCTTTCCTCTGAACAGATCAGGTTTTCCTTTAAATAGGTCATACTTTGCTTTGAACAGGTCAACAGGTCAGACTTTTCTTTTGTGCAGGTCAACAGGTCAGGCTTTCCTTTGAAGAGGTCAATTGGTTAGGCTTTCTTTTGAACAGGTCAACGAGTTAGGTTTTCCTTTAAACAGGCCAGACTTTGAGCAGATCAACAGGTCATGCGTTCCTTTGAAGTGGTCAATTGGCTAGGCTTTCTTTTGAACAGGTCAACAGGTCAAACCTTTCTTTGAACAGGTCAACAGGTCAGACTTTCCTTTGAGGAGGTCAACAAGTCAGGCTTTCCTTTGAAGAGGTCAACTTTTTAGGCTTTCATTTGAACAGGTCAACAACTTAGGCTTTCATTTAAACAGACCCACAGGTCAGGCTTTATTTTGAATAGGTCAGACTTATTTTTTTTAACAGATTAGGTTTTCCTTTAAACAGGCCATGCTTCCTTTCAACATTAGCATACAACCGTTTTCCGAGATCAAAGATTAAAAACGAATTTAAGCGAATGAACCATGTAGGTCTTGAAGAGTAATGCCCTTTATCTGATCTCGTAGACTTACATTACAGAATTATAAGCAAGGAACTTTACCCAATAACTGAAACAATATCACGTGATTTCAAACAGCAGCAATAACTAAAATGGACGGCATATATAACTCGAAGAGAAAATAATGACATAATCATGTTGACGTTCCACACTACTTTAAACCAAAGGTTAGGAAGGAAATACCCATTAGTACCAGAAAGAGTTATAAGATTTAGTGAACTTGAGAAACGTATTTTTCTGATAAAATATTTTAAAATAATGATTTTACAAATTCTAGCCGATGGTAATGCTGACTATTTGCTCAATGAATGACGAATATTTCTTTATAGGGAAATGGCTAATCTTTTCATTATCATTATCACAGAAGGTGTCAGTTTAATCGGGGTCTTTACCCATAAAGAAAAATACCCAACTATCAGGAAGCATTTCCCACAACCAGTTTTTCTAATCCTTTTTTTTTTATCTTTGGCGCCAAATATTTGCGTGGTCTGGCAACCTTTATGTTAAATTTACACAAGTAAATGGAACAAAGTTAATGCAAGAGACTTAATGTCACGTGTTTACGGTTAGTTGCATCAACGGAGCGCCAAGGATCGGAAGTAAACTGTGACGAGAACAGCCGAGCGGCGGTCACCGCGTCAGCATTTAGCTTACAGAGCTCAATGCACAAATTTCGATTGTAGATCAATGTTCAAAATACATTTAAAAATGTAAATATATTGACAAATATATATATATATATATATATATATATATATATATATATATATATATGTGACTTATTCCATTTAGAGTTCAAAGGATTTAAATCATCTTACAGTCCGGTTAGATTTATAGGGTTCCTATAACTACTCGAGGCACTTATTTACTGTCCACTCGAGAGTTCATAGTGCTCCCAAGTGGGCGTTACCGCCCACGTTGAGAAAGACTGCCTTAGATAGATAGATAGATAGA